TTGGAAAGTGCCCCAGAATCGAAGACTTTGGGTTGAGGTAGTTATATAAAAGTCTGCTGACTGGGTGAGAACTGGACTATAGGAAGCAGGAGTGTGGCTTGTTTGAAGCAGTTTGTTGAAATAACCGTGTGGCCAATAGCAGCAGAGGGAATCCTGAGTCTTTGTACTGAGAATTCTGACCTAGACTCAAAAGACTTGGCTTTATATCATATTCTCAGTTGTAGTCTCACTTGTATAGTTAGCCTTCGACACTGCATTTTACTATTTCAAATGGTATTCCTCATCAATTTTGTCCTGTATTCTATTTTGTTTTGTTTTGTTTTGTTTTGTTTCCTCTCCCGAGGATATTTTTTCCATTGATTTTTAGAGAGAGTGGAAGGAAGGGGGAGACACACAGAGAGAAACTCCGATGTGAGAAACATTGACTGGTTGCCTCCTGCATGTGCCCCGACCAGGGCCAGAGACTGAGCCTGCAACCCAGGTCCGTGCCCTTGACCGGAATTGAACCCAGGGCCCTTCAGCCTGCTGGCCGACGCTCTGCCCACGGAGCCAACCAGCTAGGGCTTGTTCTGTCTTCCAAGTGTGGGTTTCCAATGCGTTGGAATCCCCAGGCAGCTTTTATGCCAGCACCGCTTTAAAATAGTGGAGGTCATTGTCCACTGCCCTGTGGAAAGCAATTTCAGAGGTAATTTTTCCTGTTCCTTTGGTATCTAAAACTATCTTCGTTCAAACCCCAATTCTTACCTTTCCTTGATGCAGTTTTTTCCTTTGAACCTGATAAGGAAACAGGCTTCTTAGACGCTGTTCTGTTCATTTCCACTACTTCCCATTGGAGGCCATGGTTTATATGTCTCAGTCCCTGTCACTCTGAACGTGGGTCGTTTCTGTCGTTCTGAATTCCTCCAGGCGTACTGGGTGGGTCAGTGCTAAGAGCAGCTGCTATTGCTGTGCTTCCTTAGAGAAGGGAGCTGCACAGCCGGCAGCTGCTGTCGGGTGCCAGGAGCTGCGGTGGGCATCTCCCGGTGGTGCCCAGAGGTGCCGGCTGCTCACTCCGAATCCAGTGCCAAAGGGCATTGGGGGCAAAGAGGAGAAAGCTGGGGTTTGAGCAGAAGGGGTTTTGGTGTGGCTCGGGGGTCCCTCCTGGCGCCACGCCCTCCTGCTGGCTCAGGAGCTGGCTCTGTTCCGAACGGCGCAGGCCGGGGCCCTGGAGGACTTGGGGTCGGAAGGCGATGGGTTGCACCAGAGACTGTGCCATTGACTGGACATGGCTCTGGTTTTGATCTGTTCTTGCCAGGCACAGCCTCGGCGAATGGCTGTGTCCTCCTGGGATGGAGGCTGGTTCTAAGAAGCAGAAGGAAGAGTTTGCTTATTTCCTGAGCCAGAGAGGGCAGCCTTAGCTTCCCCTTTAGGAGGAAGACACCTGCCCGTTGCTGAGTTTGGTTGGGGTGACTGTGTTCTCCCATTAAGCTGCTTCCTTACCGTTCCCGTGACTCTGATTTTATCTGACTGAACCCCTCCCCCATCATGGTCTGACTGATTTTCCTGCATGTGTGGTCCCAGGGGCACCCCGTGCCCCCATGAGTGTCTGCTTTTCCTCCTCTGGCTCCGGGGCCTGGGCCTGAGGTCACAGTGCGCACCCCCCTACCCCCCGCCGCCTTCCACCCCAGGTGGCACCTTAGCCACAAGCGTAAGGGACTCCGAGAGAGGTGGAGGTGTACCAAGTAGGGAGAAAACCCTAGGACGCAGCCACGAGCAAAGGGGCTGGAGGAAGTGCTGCTCTGTAAACGGAACAATCTCTGCAGCTTTTTAAACAACACGGTGCAAGGAAACACCTGTCTCCTGCCGGGCACAGCCAGCAGCTGAAGCTAGGGGCTCTGAGGGGAGGACTTCATCTCATCACTCCTTTTCCTCTGGCTCCTTCCCTCCCAGCCTGCCCTCTAGCTCCACGCTCCTCACCTGGCCCCTCCAGCGCCACTGTGACCTCTGGGGACACCTCCCTCCCCGGCGGGCTTTGGCGCCCTCCTCTGGCCGCGCCCAGCACTCTGGTCCGCTCTCGCCTTTCCTCTCTACCTTCCTGTGGGTTAGTGACCAGCGTGTGGTTCTACCTCCACCAGGGACAGTTTGGCAGGAAGGGGAGGGGATGAGTCCTTAGGCCTCCTACGAGGCTTTTGAGTATTTGTGGAATGAATAAGCAAAGGAGTGAGCCAGTACAGCGCACAGGAAGCGACAGGCCCCGTACCTGCCCCAGGTAGGTTGGCAGCCTCCTTGGGTGTGGACGGGGAGGAGAGGAGGTGGTCAGAGGAGGCACAGTAATCACCCTGGAACTCCGGGCTGCTCCTGCCAGCCTTCCGGTCGGAGTTGGTTGCCTTTACAGGAAATCCCTTCCCCAGATCCGCACCCCACCCACTGCAGTCGTGCTGTGGCGCTGCCTTCCCACATCGAGTCTGGCCTACAGTACAGGTCTCATGTCGGTGTGTCATCTGGCCTTTCAGCGGGTGGTGAATGCCCTAAGGTCCTGCGTTCTATTTCCGAGGAAGCCTTTTCAAAGGACGGAGAAGAAAAACCACATCGCTCCAAAGGCATTTTTTGTCTCGGCTCCCAATGAGTTGTGAGACCTGAAGGCAGAGCAATTACCCTCCTTCCCCAGATCTCCCCGTTCTCCATCTGGACCGCCAGAGGCGGGGTGTGCCCTCTGTGCTCCCAGTGCTCACCCCTCGCGACTCTGGGATTCTGACCCCCGCCCCTTGCTTGTCCCTGCCAGGACCTGGGACAGGGGTCTGTCCCCACATCCGCCAGGTAATTGGGCTTGTTGGCTCCCAGTCCAGGCCAGTTCACCTCTCAGCTACTTGTCAGATGGACATGAATGGATTAGTTCATGGTGTGGCTCCATGGAGACCCCACTGGCACTTGGCCTTGCCTCTGCCAAGAAGTGCCAGGCACCAAGGACTGTGCCTCGGCCCCGCTCAGACTCAGTTCCAGTTCTGAGCTTTGGTGGGATTGGTTTCATCCCTTCAGGGGCAGGGAGGATTGGAGGTGGCGGCTGACCGGGCCACCATGCAGGGCCTGGGAGGAACGGTGGTATGAGGACACGTGTTCCCACATGAGCTGAGCCTCACTCGGTCTGTAAGACCCTGCTTCCCTGGCTCTGTCTGGGCACAGCCTGGCTCCCCTCTTTTCTCCGCGCATTTTCTACCTGTTGCACCCACTGCATTGCATTTGTTTGTTTTTTTTTGTTTTTTTTTTAAATTCATTAAATCTGTCAGTGGGTTCACAGCAGAGGCAGAGGTGGTAGGGGACTGTTTGATTTGTGGGTTAATTTTTTTTGCTTCTGTGTCTGAGGTTTGTGGATTTCTTGAAGGCCGGGAGTGGCTTGTTTTCTGTTTGGGGGAATTTGTAGGTTCATATTTGTTTTCTTGGCTGTTTTTCTCAGTTCCAACCTCATTTCTCTCGGTCCAGTCAGGTGTGTGTTCTTTCTTGGAGCATTTGTCCCCACCAGTCAGCCAGAGCCCCAAGATGGTAAAACTGCTGGTGAGTAAAGAACATTAGCAAAAGGAACCCGACAGAAAGGTGGTCTCCCAGGACCCCTCCTGGCTGTGAAACAGGGAGGTTGTGAGGATTGTGTGTCTGGGTTAAGGGCCCCTCTTAGAGGAGATGGCAAGAACGCTGGGGTGGGAAGAAAGAAGCAACATTACGATGTCTAGTGCATACACGGAACCACCCAGACCCTCCCTGAATCCTTTGTGCAAGGCTGATCCGGCGATAGCGGAGGAGTTTGCCGGAGATGGTAAGGTTGCCAAGATGAGTAAGAATTGATGGGGAAAGAGGCCAAAAAGTGCGAAAGTGAGGAATTGAGTGAGTTTTTATCTTGGGCAAAGGGTAGGTGCTAAATCAGTATTGTTAAAAAATAAACTGGTGCATATTAAAATTTTTACAAGTTTATTTGAGCAAAAAATGGATTCACATCGCCCACATGGAAGAGGTTAGCCGTGCTCCACCAATAGGAGTGGGGGAAAGATTGATACAGAAAAGCAAGGAAGCAAAGAGAGGCAAGGACTTGATCAAATATGGATTAAAGCCTCGTTGGCTGTTTGTGATCAGTTGTCCTTAGGGTCTGATTGGTAACCTTGACACTTACAAGCTTAGATTTGTTTTTTCCTCACGTTGGCCACCGTGACATGAGAGCCTAATAGCTTTCTGGTTTAACTCACTTGACAATAGAGAAGCTGAAATCTCGGGCATAGTAAAAATAATTAATTACCTTTGAAAAATGCCGCAGGAAGACACAGTCCGTATTAGAAATTGACATTTTCTGTCATTTGTGTTGCATGTGACCGCTTCCCCCCCTTCCATTGTGAGACTGTTGGTTTTGTCTGTTGAGTTCCATAGGATGTCCTTGGCGTAGGTGAAAGGGTCATGTTGTGTCAAAAGTGTCTTTTTGAAAAACAGGATGGACTCGGGAGCGAGCAGCTGCTCCCAGGAAAGGTGGGAGAGATGGACGGATTTTTGGTTTGGTTTCCACAGCCCCTCTCCTTGTGCTCGACTTGCGTAGGAGTTTGCACATGTGTGCCTTGTGGTCACAGGACTCTACCTTTGCTCCCCCTCCCTGCCTAAGCTGCAGAGACTTAGTGGGGCCCCTTGACAAAAAATAACCTCAATATCTTGGTACTGACTCGTTGAAATGTATTTTTTAAACACACACACACATATATATATATATATATATATATATATATATATATATATATATATATATATTGATTTTAGGGAGGAAGGGATAGGGATAGAGAGATAGAAACACCAATGATGAGAATCATTGATCAGCTACCTCTGACTCGCCCCCTACTGGGGATCAATCCCGCAACCCAGGCATGTGCCCTTGGCCAGAATCGAACCTGGGACCCTTCAGTCCGCAGGCCGACGCTCTATCCACTGAGCCAAGCCGGCCAGGGCTCATTGAGATGCATTAACCTCACGGGTCCAATTCTCTGTTTTGTCCACAGGTTGCTGGTGGGAGCCCCGCGGGCAGTGGCCCTTCCGCTGCAGAGGGCCAACCGGACAGGAGGCTTGTACAGCTGCGACATCACCTCTCGGGACCCGTGCACACGGATCGAGTTTGACAACGATGGTGTGTCCCGTGCTCACTCCGTGTTCCCTGGGCCAGCTCCTCGGTTCCCCACTCGCCCTTTCCATGAGGAGGAAGGGGAGGGGGACCAGCATGCATTCTTGGAGAGAGGGCCACTTTTAATTGCACCAGCCTTAACTGTTTCTTGGTTGCCCTGAAAACACTGACCATTTTCTAAGTCCCATTGAGACGCACCGTATTGCTGCTCCTCCTAGCCCTGATACGGTGTATTGGTGCTGCCACCTAGTGACGGTTCCAAGTTCTACAGGAGGCTGCTGAAAAGCTGAATTCAGAGCAGGGAAGCGAATTGAATGTGCATGTCTTGTACATAGCAGCCAGAGTTCTCACCACTTGCTGTTAAGTATCTGGGAGGAAGCCGATGTTAAGCTTCAGATCTCTGGACTGAGAGCGGACCAGCTGGGTAAAATTTGCCCCGCCGTCTCAGGTAGAGGCTTGTTTTGCGAGGACTGTATGTTGGGCAGAGCAATTCTTAGCAACGGAGAAGCTCAACCAGACCATCTGACATATGCAGATTCATGTGTTATTTTTATGTTCTTCTCTTGCTTTTTCATCTTTCAGGGATGACTTTTTTTTCTGATTAGAAAATAATACACGTTAATTATGGAAGACTTGTAAATGGCAGCAGCTTATAAAGAAAACCCACTGGTGCCCTAACAGTTTGGCTCAGTGAATGGAGCGTCGGCTTGCGGACTGAAGGGTCCCAGGTTCGATTCCGGACAAGGGCATGTACCTTAGTTTCGGGCACATCCCCAGTAGGGGGTGTGCAGGAGGCAGCTGATCAATGTTTCTCTTTCATCGATGTTTCTAACTCTATCCCTCTCTCTTCCTTTCTGTAAAAAAAAAATCAATAAAATATATTTTTTTTTAAAAAAAACACCCACTGGTAATGTAGACAGAATCGCTTTTTTATTTAACATTTTGGCATTTCCCTTCTGTCTGCTTGACGTTGTTTAGTTTCCATCCTTTTGTAACGATTCCAGATTGAAAATTGTTGCCTGCCGTGCTTCTCAGTGAGGAAGGGCAGACATTTGGTCAGAAGGTCATACAGTAGGTTCACACTGATATTGAAATGAGCACATGGTGATATTTCTTGGTTTTTCTTTTTGGTGGGGGGCGGGCAGAAGGGTTGGAAGGAAATACACCTCTTTCTTGGCATCGATAGAGAAATACAATAGGAATCTGAGGTCTCATCTTCCCGTTTCCAGTAAAGAAAGGAACAGCTCATGCTGCATGCAGCAGGTTTGGGAGTGTGTAGAGAAGCGTTCACTTCCTGTTAGTTGGGATGGTAGTTGGATTTTGGAAGCTGGAAGTCTTACATTTTCAAATACCTCTCTGTACTGGGACACTGGGTGTCAGAGGGTGAAGGGCCACCTGGTAAGGCTGTGTATTTTGTGTAAAGAATTTTATGCAAGAGTCTTACCAACAATCACCCACCTGTTTTATTAAGATGAGAAGTAATTTTTTCTGGACCAAGTAGCTGAGGTTACTTAGTAGTTACGCTTGGAGTTGATGCTGTTTGGAAGCCTTTTCTTGTGTGTGTGTTCATCTGTTGGTTCATTGCCTGTGCCAGTCACTTGGAAGTCCTAACTGTGTAACCTGTGCTGCTCTCCACAGCCGACCCTTCCTCGGAAAGCAAGGAAGACCAGTGGATGGGAGTCACTGTCCAGAGCCAGGGTCCCGGCGGCAAAGTGGTGGTGAGTAGAGGAGCGTGCTCATTCCCCCGTGCCTGAGTGCTTTTCTTTAGAACATTCAAATTGAAAGAACTTATTAACAAAATTCTATTGGATATCTCAAACTCTAGATGGTCTTAGAATAAAAAAAGCAAAACAAGCTGGACATGGTCCCAGGAACCATGTAGCTTTTATAGATGAGGTATAAAAAAATATGGGAATTGGAATGGAAAGTAAGGTCAGACTTTTTAAACTCCCGTGATTGATTCTGAGCTTCTTCAAGGAGAAGTGGTAGCGAAAATGAGAGGGTCTGTTAGATGGATTATGCTGGGTGACCTTGGGAGTGACCCCTGGGCCGGAGTATGATGACCTGTCTGTGTCTCCTTCAAAATACGATGGCTATAACAAATGTATATAGAATTTGGGGGGTGGGGGGAAGAATGAGCATTTTATTGGACGTTGAATTTTGCTATTGAAGGGCTGCATTATGGGAAATAGACTTGGATGTTGTCAAGTACCTTCCACCTGTATTGTGTGGGTACAGCATTGAATACCCTGTAAAACTGTAGAGATAATTTCCTCCCTCCCAGCAGTGTAGTTCTCTCTGCCTTATAGGATAAGCTATTTCAGAGCTTAGGTTATAAACTAGGATGTAGGGTTATAAGGGCATAGTATGGGTAAAAGGAAAATGTTGGGTTTGGCTATGTTTGCCCGATTCCTGTGAAAATGTGCCCATGGTTTCTCTCCTCGGTAACAGGCTATTTTCACAAACACACTGATGTGAGGGTTTATATAGCCACTAAGCCAATTAAATTAAGAAAATGAAACAAGGTGCTTTCATTGTTTATGTGACAGCTGCATTTATAAATAAATTACCTGAGCATTACAGATTAGCATTCAGTATTCAGATCGGACATTATTTTTTGGGAGAAAATAAGACTGAAGTCCTATGGTTTCTATAGGCTGGATAATGGTCTTCTTAGTGACACTTTGGGGGAAGATTTACTGGTTTCAGGTTCAATTTACTGGTTTCAGGGCATGTTTAACATCCTTTTTTAGTATTGAGAGTTGTATCCATTTGTAATGAAAACCATAAGGTTTGTAGACATGCGTGGGCTACTTCATTCCATCTGTTTGCAGACATGTGCTCATCGATATGAGAAAAGACAACATGTTAACACAAAGCAGGAATCCCGAGACATCTTTGGAAGGTGTTACGTCCTGAGTGAGAACCTCCGGATTGAAGATGAGATGGATGGAGGAGACTGGAGTTTCTGCGACGGCCGACTGAGAGGCCATGAGAAGTTTGGCTCTTGCCAGCAAGGGGTAGCAGCCACTTTTACTAAAGACTTTCACTACATTGTGTTTGGAGCCCCGGGAACTTATAACTGGAAAGGTATGACGTGTGTTTGTAGAAATAGAGATTAGACTGTTATTTCTATGATATGCACCACGGGTTGGTAAACTTTAAATTAAAACAAAATGTGTTGTAGTGTACTCATAAGTTATAGAAATAGGGGAGAATATTAAAATCTCTAACTCATATGACTTTTCAAAACAAACAATGGTGCAAATGTATGTTTTAAGAGATTTTTTTTTTTCTCCACCAGCAATTTACATTAATACAAGTAGTTAACTTTTTTCTGTAAGCATATGATAATTAACACTATCGTAGTTTAACATTAATGGTATTGCTGTTTTATTTTTGCCTCTCATGAAGCTGGAAGTCTTAATTTTAAGGTAGTGATCTGAAAACTGATAGGAATTGAGTCTGTCTTGTACAAATAACAGTGTCTTAATCTAGACATTCCTTTCATTATATGCTATCTTAAAAGGCTCATCTTTTGCTGATAGATTTAGAAGGCTAGATGGCAGATTAGGGAATTTTGAGATGATAATTTCAGATAACTTGCAGAAAAGTTGTTCAATGGTTTTAATTATCATTGCGATGTAGTAAAAGGAGACATGGAAGGGGGAGGGAGAAGAATGGCCCACATTTTAAGGAAGTTACTACAATAAATTTTATGTTATAACATTTTCACTAGTCAGGAAAACTTTTCCTTTCCATTAAAACACTTCCAAGTTTTTAATTTCCTGTTAGATACAATCCTTGAGGACACTCACTCTGTATGTGACCCACAGGGACCGTGGGCAGCAGTATTCTTTGCCCCCACCCCATCCCCAATCGACTCTTTTCACATGACAGTATTTCTCAGGTTATTTCGACCTAATCAAAACAACACATTTAATTTAGAAGTAGTTTTATTTTAGGAAGGACAGATGCCATACATAATAAGACAAAACACCCAGCAATTATGTATGCCTTAATTTACAGGAAACATGTCTTGTTGTTTTATTAACCCTGACTGAGAGGGTTACTCTTTTTAAAAAGTCACATAGTGGGGTTTTTATAGAAAGTCCTTTTAATGAAGGCTTTAAAAAAATGAAATATTGGTTAAAGTGAAGAATAGATCAAAATAGTAACTTCATTTTTTACTACGGTAAAGAAGGTAACAATTTTGGATTATAGAAAATGTAAATATCAGGTTCATATCATTTTTAAAATATTGTTTTCTGTAGACTTAGTTAACTTTCCTTTTTCATCTATTTTCATGGCATGTTAAAGATAATTCATGAGAATACATGGGGCATTTTTTAAATTATTACTAGATCAACTTTCTTTGACGTAAAAATTTACATGAGCATGATTTTTTAACTTCAAAACCTCAAAAGTCATTTCTTTTTCCCTGCCTTTTCTTCCTCCTAACTTTCCTTGCTATACTTAGTGGGATAACATGAGGAATGTTTTATTAGGATCCATCTGTTTTATTTTGTTTCATCTTCACTTTTTTTTTTTTTTTTTTTTTTTTTTTTTTTTTTTTTTTACCATCTCATTCCTTCAGGGATTGTGCGCGTAGAACAAAAGAATAACACTTTTTTTGACATGAACATCTTTGAAGATGGGCCTTATGAAGTTGGCGGAGAGACTGACCATGATGAAAGTCTAGTTCCTGTTCCTGCTAACAGTTACTTAGGTAGGACCGAGAGGAGCCGGCACGCCTACCTTTGCAGAGGCCTCTGGGGGACACTGCCCTCCGAGACCTTGGCCTGTGGGCTGGGAACAGATCCGGCGGAGCCAGGGGCCTGCGGCCACACTGCCGGGGATTGGATTGAGGCCTTGGTGGTTCTGAGGCTGGATTCTTCCCTTCTGGCCTAGGCTCCCTCAAGTGGGGACGAACCCTACTTCCTCCTAAAAATCCCCTGCCCTCTGCATGGATGTCCGTTTGCTGAGCCAACGCCAGTCTCTGTCACCTGAAAAGGGCCGTTTGTGCAGCTGAGAACAAATGCGCGGATGTCAGGGAGCTGAGCTGCCTCCCCTCTCCCTTCAGGCCTCTCTCCAGGCGGCTCCTAAGAGCCGCATTTATGAAGGTACTCTTAAGTGGCAGGGCAAGACCCCAGGTCCCTCCGCTGTGATTGCCTTTCTCCGGCGTTGGCCCTGCTTCTGGATTGGGGCCTCGTGTCACGGGGCCCTAGCGGGTTGGCACGGGGCCTCCTGGCCGAGGCTGAGCAGGACTCGCCGAAGCAGCGTGGGGACACCCGGATTATGGCTAAGTGCCTGTTCCTTAACTCCTAAGGCGTGTTTGCATTACTAATGGGGTCCTAAATTACTCATGTGCATTATGGTAATTACACAAAGGCTTTTAGAAGCTTTAATTCTTAGTATGAGATGACATAAAGAATAATTATTGTGCATTTCTTGGAAAAAATGTAAAAAATCTCCTAAGCCCAAAGAGTAACCTATTTTTTTTTTAATTTTTAATTTTTTTTTTAAGAAAAGAACCCATATGCTAAAGATATTACTGGAACAATGAAAAGGAAAAAATAGAAATAAGTATAAGAATAATCCCAAATAATGTGTTAAACATATTCTTAAAATTGTTCTAAATGTTAACTTAATTGAAAAAATAACATTAAAAATAAGTTGTTCTAATTATATAGGTATGTATGAACAGAACTGTTAATGAACATTTTTCAGACACTCCCTCCTCCCCTAAAGTAAAAATTGAAAACTTGGTGTGAAGGCACAGAAGAGGAAAAGGTTATATACTTAACTACTTGTCAAGCACCTACATAACGCTTTACCGGTCTCATTTAATCTTCTCAACAATCTACACTAATAAAAGAGCAACATGCTATTGGCCCACCAACCAATCAGGAGTGAGTATGCAAATTAACCCAACAAAGATGGAGGGTTAATTTGCATATGCAGGCGCCAAGTGGGCGGGGGGGGGGGCAGGGTGGGACCAAGGCGTTCTATGCACCACCCCAGTCACTGCAAGCCTCTTGACAGAGTGGGAAGGCAAAAAGGTGGCTCCGGGCCGGGGTGATAAAGCAGATCCACCCAGAGCAAAGGCGGTGCCGGCAGCCAGGGGAAGGAAAGCCCATTCTTGCACCAATCTTGGTGCATCTAGCCTCTAGTGTTGTAAAATAAGTATTACTGCCCCTCTTGCTGGCTGTGTGAATGGCTTTGCAGGACATGAAGGGCACAGAGGGCCATGCAGTTTTCAGCCCCAGTTATGGTTTTTTTAAGGTAAATATTATCAACAAACGAATGCTTTGTTTGATTATATTTTAACAGACAACCCCTCTTCAAATGCTTTATTCAAGGATAAGTTTATGGTGCGAAACATTTAATTTTCATGGCTCTAGGCAAGAAACCAACACACTTAATTTTAGGATAGAGGCCCGTGGATTTTACAAGCTTAGTTGCTATCAGGACATTTGGGTAGGACACATTTGCTGCTTTCAGAATGGGTTTCCTCAAAAGTGGATGCCTGGGAAAAGAGTCAAGTTTGTGCGGTTACATTTTAGTTGTCCGTGCTGTCTGTGCAGCTGTCATTTCAAAAAACCAGTGGGTTTTAGGAATGAAATGATCTGCTTGAGGCTTTGGAAGCTGGCAGAGAGAGTGGCTTTCCAGATGCTGCGGTGGCCTCATCATCCAGCAAGAGCGAGCGGTGGTCGCCGTGGTGCCTCCTCCCCGGCATAATTGCTTTTTCTTCCATCTCTTCCACTTGGCGCGCGTGCACAGGCCTGCTGTTTTTGACCAGCGTCTCCTACACAGATCCCGATCAGTTTGTTTATAAAACACAGCCTCCCAGGGAGCCGCCCGACACGTCCCCTGACGTGATGATGAATAGCTACCTAGGTTTGTGATCTCCCAGATGACACATCAATTGTCTTGGTCATGTTCATTTAAAACATTTTTTTTTTATCCATACAGAGCATAAATCTTTTTATTTTTCTATTTCATTTCAAGGGAAGCCCGCACGAGAAGCATGCTGCAGTGGCGGCTCTGCTGCCAGATGGTTTTCAGAGCTGGGTTTGATTAGCTCGCCCTGCTCTAAACTGGTGGCTCATCCTATTTCTCGACTCACTGCACGCAGTTTGAGAACGGCAACAGTAGTGGTGAAACTTTGCATAAATAAAACCCAGTAAAAAAGGGTGGCCTTACACTACGCTGCCTCTGCCTCGCCTCTGAGGAAATACTTGCTTCATTTGAATGACCTTGATAGGGGCATTTATATTTGCCCCCCGATTAAATCTTGTATTTGTAATCTGACGTCCTACCTGATGCTTTACGATGAGATGTTCTAATGCTCTCCTCCCCCTCCTGACAAATTGATATAGATGATACGTTGCTCGCCTCTATTGTTTACGTGTGTTCTCAAATGCTGCGGCTCATCCATCATGGTTTGGTTTGCATGCTTGTGTCTGAGAACTAAGTGGGTTCAAAATAATGAAATGCTGCTTGTGGTCGTATTGATGAAGTTGGCATTTGTGCTTGCCTGATTACCAAGGGGATTGATGCGTATGGACATTCCTAATCATTTATTATGGCTGAACCGAACAACATGCACTCAGTTATACTATCAGGTTGTATCTCTGTGTATCTGATGTCAGTTTGCTAGGATAATTTAGTATCTGGTTTGATCTCCTTTTACCGCAGGTCTAGTATTAAAATAAGTTTCAAACTGATTCTTACAATGAATGAATGCTTCATGATTCAAGTCGGACAGATGCTAAATAGCATAGGTTCTTTTAAGTCTTAATCTATTCCATGGAAAGCAGTGAAATAGCCTGCTGCTTGGTACTTGTGTCATATCTCTGCAACTCTCCTATCCTAAGTGTGATAGCTGGTGGGGAGGGTCAGAAGGAGAGGGGTGGGAAGCAAAAGGAGCAAGTGGGGAGGGAGTTACCAGTGTTGGATGCCTCTGAAACACAGAGTTGACATGAGCTGTATTTTGCTTTTCTAGGCTTTTCTCTGGACTCGGGGAAAGGGATCACTTCTAAAGACGACATCACCTTTGTATCTGGTGCTCCGAGAGCCAATCACAGTGGAGCTGTGGTTTTGCTCAAAAGAGACATGAAGTCTGCACACCTTCTCCCCGAGCACATATTTGAAGGAGAAGGTCTGGCTTCATCCTTTGGCTATGACGTAGCCGTGGTGGACCTCAACAAAGATGGGTGAGAGCACGTTAGGTCATTTCTCGTTTGTAAAGAATTCATGGCTTCTTCGGCTTCTGTAGGTCTTGAGAAGAGCCATCCTTTCAGGTTCGTTGATTCAAAGAATATTTTTGCTGACAAATTTTCAGCATCCTTTCATGCCTTTATCACTTGTATTTTGGCAGTAGACAAATACCCTTCATTACCCTTCCCGGGATGTAGGATTATTACATCTTTTCCAATTTTTAGTTTTTACTCTTGTCTTGGGAGTGGGTCTGTGAGAATTAAAATTTGGGGTGAAAAATTAACTCGGAAAAGAACACCTACATGGTTCTTTTCTCTGGTTTCTTAAGGGGCTGTTGGAGCATCTAGAACAGAGGTTCTCAACCTTTCTAATGCCTCTACCCTTTAATACAGTTCTTCATGTGGTGACCCCCAACCATAAAATTATTTTCATTGCTACTTCATAACTGTAATCTTGCTACTGTTATGAATCATAATGTAAATATCTGTGTTTTCCGATGGTCTTAGGCGACCCTACTAGCGTTGATATTCCCACAGGTTGAGAATCACTGCTGTAGAGCCTAAGACAATTATGAAAATAATTTTATGGTTGGGGGTTACCACAACATGAGGAACTGTAGTAAAGGGTCGAGGCATTAGAAAGGTTGAGAACCACTGGTCTAGCATGTTCTGTTGAAAGTAAGGATTGGAGACAAACTCAGTACATGGTCTGTGGCTGGTGGTGCCAGTTGGGGTCTGGAGTGAAAGGAGGAGGGGAGTGGAATCTTTACTGGGAGTCTGCACTTTGATCTAATTTGGAGAACTGGCTTGAAGTTCTTACCCTCCATCATTTTTCTTTGGTTTAAAAAATTTTTTTAATTGATGAGATATAAGTTCTATAGTTGGGGCCCTTTCCATCATATCATACCTCTTTGTGTCCTTAGTACCTGGGCTGGTGGTATTCTCCCCCAAGCTGGCTGTTGAGCTGATGGTTCACAGCTCTTTTTCTCCTTACGCTCTCAGGTGGCAGGATATTGTGATTGGAGCCCCACAGTATTTTGACAGAGACGGAGAAGTTGGAGGTGCAGTGTATGTCTACATGAACCAGCAAGGCCGGTGGAAAAATGTCAAGCCAATTCGTCTTAATGGGACCAAAGACTCTATGTTCGGCATCGCCGTCAAAAATATTGGCGATATTAACCAAGATGGCTACCCAGGTAAAATAATAGATTATGAAATGACTATGATTTATAGATAATTTGACTTGATGAGTTTATGGGATCTTACTTAAAGCTTTGTACTGAAATGTTTTAAAAATGCAATGTTTGTTAAACTGTGATGTTGTCAACAGATATTGCGGTTGGAGCTCCCTATGATGAAAACGGCAAAGTTTTTATCTATCATGGCTCGGCGAGCGGAATAATTACCAAACCAACGCAGGTAACCAGATTACAATGGGGGTTTGAGCTTTTTGCCTGAAGATAGAATATTTAAGTTTAAGTGTATTTTCCACTAATCCCATTTTAGCTTACAAATCTACAATAGTATGTATTATTTGAAAATGTATTATTTGAAGATAGCTTGGAAATAGATGTACAGGTAATTGCAATGACTTGCTTGTTTTAATTGTAAAATGTCTTTGATAAGTGAGAATCAAGGTAATCGAAGGAAGAGACTATTCTACACTGACAGCATAAGTAGGTGGAAATGTGATGTATTTCCTTTAGTAGCATACTAAGTAGAGAGGAAACTGGCCAAATGAAAGAGATGATTGTTATTGCATGGATTATTCAGACACCAAATTTTAAAAATTGCTTTCGAGAAAAATAAGACATTTGGAGGGCAGTTAGAAAGGTTTGGTTTGAAATACCCTGATTGACTTAATACAGTAAACAAGTTCATAAAAAATTGGCTCATTTATTCCTTGAGATACAGTGTAAATTGGGTGACTTTTATGCGTTGGGTGTATGCTTATTTCTGATTTATTTATAATTGAATATAATTTAATTATAAGTGAATTCTTAAATGTCAGTTCTTTCTCTTAAACTTGTGTGTCTTTTTCAAAGCATAGGGTGGTAAGAAGCTCATTTTGGTGGCCCCGTGTCCATTCTGATGACCTGTTCTTTTTAGGTTCTCGAGGGTAATTCACGGTTTTTTGGATATTCAATTGCTGGAAATATGGACCTTGATAAGAATTCCTACCCTGATGTTGCTGTTGGCTCCCTGTCAGATTCAGTAACTGTTTTCAGGTGTGTTAAAAGCATGTTCAATACTTGGGTTACATTAAAATTTTTCCCTTTTGAATTGAAATTTGTAATGCCTATACTTCAAAAGACAAAAGCTGGTATGAATTTTGAAGATTTTCCTTTTACAAGTCGTGTAACAATGTGATAAAACCTATTTTGTAAAGTCTTGAACTCGCTGAGAAAAAGCTAGGTTAGAAGTGGTGACTAACTGAACATGTGTATGTGATTGGGAAGAGAAAGAATTCGGGGGAAAGTTCTCAGTTGTGGTTTGTTCGTGGTAATCTTCCTCAGTCCTGGACACTGGTCCTTCCCAGCTGTCACTGGGGGGAGAGGAGGTACTTTGTGTCCTCTTAGGTTAAAGCATCCACCCCATGTTTTACCTGGTGGTTCTCTAACTCTAATTTTATACCCTTTTCTCTCTGTTCCTATGGATACTAACCGTACAATAGTCACCATTTTTAAAAGGTGGAACATTCAGTTATTTCAGCAAAGTTTCCATCAAAAAGCAGTTCGAATTTCTAGTTCTAGTTTGAGGTCTAGCCCTCAGGTATCAAGAAGACATGACTTCCTGTACCAAAATTTGGTTACCAAGTCTTTCCCAGCAGATAACCTGTCTTTAGTTAAATACTTGCTTCTCTCTGTCATTGATTTAAAAAAAATAAATTTTATTGATATTTCACAAAAAGGAAGAGAGAGAGGGATAGAGAGAAACACTGATGAGAGAGAAACATCGATCAGCTGCCTCCTGCACACTCCCCACCAGGGATGTGCTCACAACCAAGGTACATGCCCTTGACCGGAATTGAACCGGGGCCCTTCAGTGCGCAGGCCAACGCTCTATCCACTGAGCCAAATTGGTTTCGGCTTGATGTTTTAGCACCCTTAGTTTTCCTGTCCTCATAAATGGGTTGTGAATCCTGTAAACTTGTTCCTTTTTCCTCATAGATAGTAGGAAAGTAAATTTCAGAAACATTTGATAATGAAAGGAAAATCAACTCCCTTATTTTACACACAAAGCAATGGAGGCCCAGGACTTGCCTGAGCTTTTAAGGCTGGATCCTGTGGGAACAGAGCATAGCACCTAGATCCTCCCATCTATTTCCCTTGGCATTTCCCCATTAAATCATTCTAGGACTTCAGGGTAGCTAATAAATAGATACTAGTTAAATAAAAGACAGCTGGGCCAAAAGATTTGCTTCATGTGTTAAAAGGCAAAATTTTCATGATTCATATATAATGTATACTCAGTATTGCATGTGGATGTTGTGTGTTTAAAAAAACAAGTAAAAATAGAGTTGCAAAATGCATTAAAATATTTTCTTTTGAAATGTATGCTCCACGGAAGCTTAATGCTATGACATCCAAACACTTAAATATCTATCGCAACTGGTTTTAAAATATGTGTGAATTTTTGCCTTTTAAATATGCTCTCAAAACTTGGAGCGTCTATAGTCAGTATCTCAGGAACTAGCAGCTGCCTTGATGTAAAATAATAGCAGGAAGAAAGGAAGACACGGACTGTGGGCAGCACTGGCCGTTCTTTGGCTCCCACCTTCCCCCAGAGTGTACTGGGCCCTCTCTGGCCTCCTGGTAGATTGTTTCCAGAAGTTCAACCTAGTTGATTGGAATTGGAATGCGTTTTCCTATCAGAATATTCTCCAGGATGGCCGAGTTCACCACAATCCCACTACAGTCAGCCTAACGGGATCTGTGTGGTAATGAAACCCTGGAACCCACTCTGAGCTCTGGCTGGAGAGAGACAGAGGCGAGAGGTATCTTTCTCCATCCCACTCGCACCCCCAGCCGCTGCGCACTCGCAGGCCTGTGCCTGTGGCAGAGGCCAGGTCACAGGCCAGCACTGACCGGTTGGCTGTGGGAGGAGAGGTGAATATAGAAGGGGGAGGGGAAATGCTTTTATGCCGTGAGAAGACCTGGTGTGGGATGCCAGCGTCTTGAGTGTGTGTGAGGTTGGGGTGAGGTAGAGGGTAGAGGTTAAGGGATTTGAGTATTTGCCTACCGAGATATTGGGGGGCAGAAAAGCTTAGTCCGTTGCAGCATCAGGAGCATAAGGACTCGGGGCTGGGAATGGTGGTTCTGGGGAGGACAAGGAAGGACGAATGTTTGCAAGATGGAGACCCGGGGTTCAGGCTCGCCTGAGTCACTAAAACCCAGGTGCATGCAGAACTCCTAATAGTGAGCATCCCAGCTCTGAGGGGTGTATGTTGGTGTCACCTTTGTGAAGGCTGTTTTGGCAGGATTACTCATAATTAAAGTATACATATTCCTTGACTCATTCTGCTGAACCACACAGATAAAGTCAAATGTGTGCTGCGATGCAGGTGCCAAGGGTGTTGGTCGGGGCTGAAAGCCGGAACCGATGCACATGGGCACCCACTAGGGATTGGTTACACGCAGGCTGTCACCTCGGCACCTGCGCCCCGGCCGCTGTGGGGACCAGGCCCGACCCACGTGAATGGCCCTGAGGAGACCCGAAGTGTTAACAAATGGGAAAAGCAACAGAAAGCATGGAATTTCCTGTTTAAATAATCGTGTGTCTTTTTATTTTAAACCAACACGTGGACGATGACGTGTCTGGGAGAATACAGAAGGCTACTTGGGAGCTTGGGTGGGGATGGAGACGCTATTTGCTTGAAAACCCTGGGATTTTTACATGTTGTACCTATTACTCTTTCAATGGGAAACACACACACACACACACACACACACACGCACAAAACTAGAACTTTTAAAAATTTTCAATATTATTTAAAAATTTGAATTAAGTATTATAGAATCGGGTTTTAATTTGTATTGAACAGTTATTTTCTTCAGTCACCGAGGAGATAAATTGCATGGGGGAACATTTCACCTGTGGTGGTAAGGTGTATCGGGCAGCCGAGGGCCAGTGTATAATAGGATGAATTCATGTTACATTCAAGGGAGCAAAGGCTGAGCTTGCTTCCCCCTCCTTTGTCTTCAGATCCCGGCCTGTGATTAACATTCAGAAAACCGTCACGGTGACACCCAACAGGATCGACCTCCGCCAGAAGACGGCCTGTGGGGCGCCCAGTGGGATCTGGTGAGTCTCCCACAGACCCCTCGGAGTCACACGTCCGCTCTGTGCTGCCCCCGTTGGCCTGAAGGGCTGCAGGGAAGGCTGAGAAATGGGCAGAGGGGAGTGGAGTCTGCCAAGCAAATGGGTAACCATTGACTCATCAGTGAGCCGTGGGGGAAGGGGTGGGTCGCGGCAGGGGTTGAGAGCTGGGAACATGATGTTGTTGTTTTTACCTGCTGCAATAATGCATCTTTTAAGAAGCCATGTGTTCAATTTTATACAGCCTCAAGGTTAAGGCCTGCTTTGAATATACTGCCAAGCCCGCTGGTTACAATCCTTCAATATGTAAGTACCTCGTACTCTTTAAAAATGACGTGGTTTCTTTCCGCCAGGTTGGAAGTTCTGCGTAAAGAACAGAAAAGTACAACTGCAGTGGCCACAAATGGGGATCAAGTCTTATCGGCCGTCTTCCCTCTCATCGGAGGGGGCCGCACTCGAGGGAAACACTGGCCAGTTGGTCCCCATTTGAATTTTCCAGAGCAGATGGTTTGGGGCAGAATGTCTTGGGAAAGAATTCATTTGCCACCACAACCGTTTCCTCCGTCTCTGTCTCTGAAAGGCGGTGTGGAAAGTTGGTTTTGCGGCTACGAGGCGGTGGGTGGTGGGTGATGGTGGGTAGTGGTTTGGAAGAGTGACGGCGGGAGCTCCGTGCCGCAGGGTAATTGCCAGTTTGTGCTCTTTGCTCCCGACGGGAGGAGTGTGGAATTACTGTCTAACATTGTGTGGAGATCAGATGAGATGCTGTGGTGAAAGCAGTTAGTCATTTTCTTTTAAAAAAATAAAAATTTATACATTTTATTGATTTTTTTTTTTACAGAGAGAAAGAGAGAGGGATAGAGAGTTAGAAACATCGATGAGAGAGAAACATCGATCAGCTGCCTCTTGCACCCCCCCCCCACTGGGGATGTGCCCGCAACCAAGGTACATGCCCTTGACTGGAATCGAACCTGGGAACCTTCAGTCTGCAGGCCAACGCTCTATCCACTGAGCCAAACCGGTTTTGGCCAGTTAGTCATTTCTAAGGTCTCGTCCTGCTCCTTCCTTTGTAATCCAAGTTCTGACAGGGCTTACCATACTCCAACCGGAGCGACGGTCAATCACGGGATTCTCTGGTATGTCTTAGAGCAGCCATGCCTCTTCAGGTCTAAGCCACCTGCTCCAGCTCCCGACGGGAGGGGTGTGGAAATTTACAGGAAATCTCTCCCCAAAAAGAAGTGCAAAGAGGGAGGGTGCTTTCCCTCTGGGGTCTGGCCAGGGTCTCGGCTGCTGTGCTTTGTGGTACCCGTGCCACCAAGGGAAGCTTCTAGCGGGGCAGGTAGTTCCCGTTCTTCCCGTGCTTTTCTGTTTTTTCTCCACCTCGAGATCATGAGTTTGTGTAAGATTTCTCTTTGTTACCTCAAGTGTCACTGTTTTCTCTGTTTGAAAGATGTCCCCGTTCCTCTCCCAGAGTTCGGCAGATAAGTCCGCTCCCCGCTGGACCACGCTGTCATAAGCCGCTTAGTCTTCCTCTTCCGAGATGCTAAGCTCTCAGGTTCCTGCGTCTCCCCGACGTGCCGGGCAGCATCCGCTGGGTCATCTCCCTGGGACCGGGGACGGGGGCCCCAGGCATGCGGCGCCGGCCGATTATGGCTTTGGGTGCAGGTAGAGCGTGGCCTCTCGCTTTGCTTTTGATGCTGCTGGCATTTCATGGAGCAGAGAAACAGTTCTGGGTGCGGCTTCAAGTGACAGGAAAACGTCTTCGATGACTTTGCACGATCTGTCGTCTTTCCAGGATCACTGGTGCCATTGCTACCCAAATGCAGTACCTCACACCTGCCTGTTCAGATCACAGGCCCTTTACGTTGTGTTGGGAATTGGCCAGAGGGACCAGGAGAAACTGGGACTCTCTTAAGTAGGCCAGGGGACGAACGGGAAACATTTCTATCCTCTCAGCCTGTCATTTTCTCAGGCCACACTGCCTTTGACGATAGATGTGAAATCTCATCAGGGCATTCCTTGTCTCCCCCCAAATCAATATTAATTTCATATTATGTAACGACTCCATTAACCAAGTGCTTATGGAGAGCCTCTTACGGATAGAGCTCCTCTCTCTGAGGACATGTGGAGAAAACCTGCTTTCATGGCCCATAGTTCCACGGTCTTGGGAAGTCCTAAATCAAACCGAACAGAACTCCCACCGAGCCGTGTAAGGGAATACATCTGCGGTGTGAGCACGCGGGCCTATTGTTGGGCCAGGCCGTTTTAACTCGGCAGCCCTCGGATGTGGCGCTCCGTACGGACGGCATTTATAATTGAGCCTTAATGAGTGTTCTCCGTGGCTTGCCCCTCCAAAGGTCGGCCAAGGTGGCCTGCAAGGGTTTTAAGATGATGTGAACTGTCTGGAGGGTTAGGGGAGGTTGGAGCGGTTTGGGTAGATAAGCCGTTTTAATGCACCCACACCCTCCCCTCCTCTTGCTGCCGGCGGGGTGGGGGTGGGGGGGAAGCACTCAGCCTGGGAGCCCTCGTCTGGTTCACTATGAAGTTAGCAGGTCACTGATAAATGGATGATGTCAAGGCTGCCCAGGGCCTAAAACAGAGATGCATTCCATTTGGCAGCCATGACATTTAAAAATTCTTTACATGGACACAGAAATTACTCTTGAAACTGTCATTGTTTCTGAATTTTGGGCCAGCACTTCCAAAGTGCTGTCATTTCAGCGTAAGATTAGCGTCCCATTGTGTGTTTGTGTGGGCAGGCGTGTACCGGTGTGCGTGTGGATGTGGGGCTGGGCACTCCCGCTTCCATTCATCTATTGTACAAGCGGTATCCGTATCAGTCATTGTGCTTTGCCGGGCAACACAGTGGTGAGCAGACCGAGGTGGTCCCTGTCCGTAGCTCTGCCGGGAAAGGTGGTCAGGTGGTTACAGTGCAATGGGCTAAGTGTAGAATACTGTCAGCTCCCCCAGGGGGCCAGGGGAGGCCTCCAGAAGAAGCGACGTCCATGCTGAGATCTGAAGGAGGAGGGTTTGTGGGCAGTCAGGGGGAGGGGAGGAAACGGGTGGGGGGAGGGTGGGGAATCCCAACTGGCAAAGAGAGGGTGACTCACGCAGAGGTCTAGAGGCAAGTGGGAACCTGGATATTTAAGAAACTTCAAAATCAAGCAATTATTTTTTGTGTTTGTGACACAGGCTTAGGAGCTGGCTCTGCCTCTGCCGCTCACTGTGTGGCTCTGGGCCCGCCCCACCTGTGTGGGCCTCCATTTCTTCATCTGTAGGAAGAGGGTGTTGCCATAGATGCTCTCAAAAGGGCTCTGGCAGTCTCTGCCTTGAATGATAGGCCAAGGGTTGTTGATTCAGCTTTCTGCATTTTTCTGGAACAGATTGTTTTCCCTGGGGGCTGCCTTCTCTGGCACTGTACACCCTCTGGTTTCTTCCCTTCTGACGGTTAGTGATTACTGAATGTAAGTAACCTCAGGGCTCTCCCGTAAAGGGAGAGCAGCTGTATCCAGAGAACTGGCAAAGAGTGCATTCTGAAGTCAAGGACCGAGACTTGGATTACCCAGGTCCTGGCTGGCCTCAGCTCCATTAGTCCAGGTCAGTGGTGGCCAACCTTTCGGACCTCTTGGACCTCATGGACCACCGGTGAATGACCGCTGGCAACACAGTGGTGAGCAGACTGAGGTGGTCCCTGTCCGTAGCTCTGCTTTCTGGAGCTCTGCAGACTGGAAACGTGGCTTGTGGAAGCTAGATTAGCTGACACCCAGGCCCTCTAGCCACTAAAAGGAACATGTTTTATCTTTTTTTTTTTTTTTAACTTGAAAAGTCTCATCCTGTTCTCAAAAGACTTTTATGTCCCTAATATATATATATTATTCCTCTTTAGACACCTGTCCTTTATCAGTGCTTATTAACTTTAGGTGTGAAAACCCACCTCATGATCCTGTTACGATGCAGAGCTGGCTCAGGGGGTCTGGCTGGGCCTGTGTCTGCATCCCTAGCAGACCTCAGGAGATGCTGTGCTGCTGGTCTAGAACCCTTTTGAAGGGGATTGTTTTCTTTTCTTTTTAATTTTTAAAAGTTTAATTTCTAATCACAGTTGACATATAATATACTCGTCTCAGGCATACAACATAGCTATCAGACATTTATATACCGCTAGAGGCCCGCTGCATGGAAATCCATGCACTGGAGGGGGTCCCTCAGCCCGGCCTGCCCCCTTTCAGTCTGGGAGTCCTCAGGGGTGGGAGTTGATCCGGCGATCAGGGGAAGGCAATGCCTTCATCCTATCTCTGCAGCTGTCACTGCTGGCAGCACAAGCCTCAGTTGACTCTGGATAACTGAACCCCAGATGGCCCTGGGCGGCTGGGCAGCCGCCATTTGAGGCTTGCCTGCACCTAGGGCATCAGCTGGGCAGTCGCCATCCAAGGCTTGCCTTCACCTCAGGCCGGCCCTGGGGGGCTGAGGGAACTGAGGGACTCTGGAGGCAGGTGCACGGAGCGGCTGGATCTACCTGGGGTCAGGCCCAGCCATTGCCGCACACTTTCTGCCCCAGCCGGGTTGAGGGGACTGGGCACCACCATCTTGTGGTGTGGGTGATGCCATCTTTGTTGAGGGTGTGATGGTCAATTATCATATTTCCTCTTTATTAGGTAGGATATGAAGTGGTCACCCTAGTAAGTCCAGTACCCATCTGACACCACATATAGTTATTATTGTATCATTTACTACTAGAGGTTCAGTGCATGAATTTCATGCACCAGTAGGGTCTCTTGGCCTGGCCTGTGGGATCAGGCCAAAACCGGCTCTCCAATAACCCCCTTGGGGTCCTGGATCACAAGAGGGTGCAGGCCAGGTTGAGGACCCCCACCAATGCATGACTGGGGCTGGGGAGGGATGTGAGAGGTTGGCCAGCTGAAGAGAGACCGTAGGAGGGCTCCAGGGCATGTCCAGTTCATTTTGCTCAGTCCCGATCAGCTGGACTCCAGCAGCAAGCTAACTTACCAGTGGGAGCGTCTGCTCTTTGGTGGTCAGTGTGCATCATAGTGAGTGGTTGAACAGCCTTAGCATATCATTAGCCTTTGATTGGTTGAACAGACTATCGGACAAACGGACACTTAGCCTATTAGGCTTTTATTATATAGGAGGATGTTTTCTATGTGGTACTTTACATTCCCATGATTGTTTTTATAACTGGGAATTTGTACTTCTTACTCCCTTTTTGAGTATCCAAGTGCTAGGACATTTAAACACTGACCTGTTGAAGCGAGAGTCAGTTTGGGCCCTTAGGGAGTTGTTGGGTCCTCTCCTATTATCTTGAGTGCCCTGAGATGCTGAGATTCAGCCAGCAACTGATTCTTAGACACTGCTCAGAGGTCTTGACTTATTATTGAGCTCCCCCTGGTGGCTCCATGAAAAATTAACTTTTAAGACTATCAACAGCAATGGGCAGGAAAGGACAGCTTGACTTGAACATGGTAAGTCAATCAAAATGTCTATTATCAAGAAATACGAAGAGAAACAACGGCAGTGGGAAAAGTGTCCTTCTAAAAGGAATTAAAATATTTTTAAAAGGAGCTCTGAATACTTACAGCTGCACTTCAAAATCATATGATTTCTGTCCCTTTTATCTAGCCATTGTGGGCACGCTTGAGGCTGAAAAAGATAGAAGAAAATCCGGGCTCTCATCGAGAGTGCAGTTTCGAAACCAAGGTTCTGAGCCCAAGTATACGAAAGTGATAACGCTGAACAGGCAGAAGCAGAAGGCGTGCATGGAGGAAACGCTCTGGCTGCAGGTGAGGCCGGCGGGCAGTCAAAACGTTTTTTTTTTTTTAATGGGGACAAGGGTTGGGCTTAATGGGGGCATATATAGATTTTGAAATTTATACTGGAAACCCATTATTCAGTATGAAATAAAGCATAGTTATTACCGTATCATTTACTACTTGGTTTTGGTGTCCCAGGAGAATTTATCCCATGCTTACCTGTATCTCTGCATCCTTTTCAGGAAAACATCAGAGATAAGCTGCGTCCCATCCCCATAACTGCTTCGGTGGAGATCCAAGATCCAAACACGCGGCGGCGAGTGAACTCACTTCCAGAGGTTTTCCCAATTCTGAATTCCAACGAGCCCAAGACGGTCCATACAGATGTAAGTCTTTCTGACTTGTTTTGCCATATTATTATGTCAAGTCAAACGTCTTTAAAGGCACAAGAACTAGTGATGTGCTTTAAAGGTTATTTCATTGTATTAAATAAGCTTTTAAAAATATCTGCAAAGTTTGAAGATTTGTTTCTCTGATTAGCCATGAATATAGAAGCATACAGAATAGAATTTGGAGCCAGAAAGGTTTTTTCTTAATTTTTTTTTTTTTTTTTTTTTTTTTTTTTTTTTTTTTTTTGCTACTAAGACTTATTGAGACCATAATTGGCAGAACTTCTTATTCTCACATCCAGTTTCTCCTACAGCTGTATGAAGAAAGAAAAATACATTGCATTTTGCCAGGAAGAACATTAACGTGTAGAAAACCAACTGTTGTTCCTATGAACATTAAAATCAAGGAATATAAAAATTCAGCAAGTCAAAAAAGTAGCAGCTGTGAAGTAGTCATTTAGTGCTGACTACAATCTTAGAAGATTATTTTATATTATATGGCTCGCTGCATGCCTATGAGGTGGGCATGTTTGTTAGGTTTTATGCTGGTTGAGATGCAAGATTAGGCTGGGAGCTGTGACATCCTAATTGCACATTATGCCCTTGCTGTCAGAATCCTGTCTGTACCTCAGTGCCTGCTCTGAGGCGCCTGGGTCTGGTGGTCCACGGATGAAGCTTTTAAGAAGTGAATACTCAGTGTGTTAGCGTAAGAGCAGATGCCTAAATGTAGACATTGTCAGTCTTTTTTTTTTTTAAATCCTCACCTGAGGATAATTCCTAGAGAGAGTGGAAGGGAGAGAGAGAGAGAGAAACATTGATGTGAGAGAGACACATTGATTGCATGTCTTCTGCATGCACCCAGCCAGGGCTGAGGGTCTAACCTGCAACCGAGGTACATTCCCTTGACTGGGAATCGAACCCCAGACGCTTTGGTCTGCAGGTTGACGCTCTAACCACTGAGAAAAACTGACCTGGGTCGCATTGTCCGTTTTTATGGTCACCAAACATAGTTCCTTATACTTTACTATATTTCCATGTATTTTTCATGTTGATGATCATATTAATATATCTTGTGTATATCCCCAGCTCTGTAGTCATGTTAAACATAACAGACTAGGAGACAGTTTCCTAATTATTTATGAGGGTGATTATTGAGCACTATTAGCATTGCAGCTAGCAAACATAGCTCCTGATTCATAGGCTGATGCTCAGCCATTGAGCTACATTGGCTGGGCTCAAAGTGTCTTAAGACACGGTTCTGCTAGGCCAAGGGGGCATTGCCTGCATGCCCAAGTACGTCTGAAGCTTGATGTCTGCTCTGATGACAGTCACACACAGAAATGAACCATGAGCAGAAAGCTAGCCACCCACTCTGTGAGCCCCAAAGGGCTGACATTTCTGACCGCGGTTTTGTTTTCCTCCAGGTGCACTTCCTAAAAGAGGGATGTGGAGACGACAATGTGTGCAACAGCAACCTTAAACTAGAATACAAGTTTTGTACCCGGGAAGGAAACCAGGACAAGTTTTCCTACCTGCCGATGTAAGCATTGCTCTGTGGCCCCAGCCAACAATCTGACTCTGGCTTTGCAGAGACTTTTGTTAAAAGGGGGCCTTACTGAACACATACTGAGGACTTTGTCTCATTTTTCTCTCCTTTAATAGTCAAAAGGGTGTTCCAGAACTAGTTCTAAAAGACCAGAAGGACATTGCTTTGGAAATAACAGTGACGAACAGCCCTTCCGACCCAAGGAACCCCACCCGAGATGGCGATGACGCGCACGAAGCTAAGCTCATTGCGACTTTCCCGGACACGCTGACCTACTCCGCGTACAGAGAGCTGAAGGCCTTCCCTGTACGTGCAGCTCCAGCCCGGCGGGAGGGGGAGCCACGTGGTGGTTGGTGAGCCTGTGTGATCTGGTGTGCTTTTCTGTTGTAGGAGAAACAGCTGAGTTGTGTTGCCAACCAGAATGGCTCCCAGGCGGACTGTGAGCTCGGAAATCCTTTTAAAAGAAATTCCAGTGTAGGTGATGCCTTCCCATACTGAATTTTACCATTTTCAACGCCATGACAACATTGATATGTTTGACCTGTGCTCATGGCTCTTTTTATTTTTATTTTTTTAGGTTACTTTCTATTTGATTTTAAGTACAACCGAGGTCACCTTTGACACCACAGATCTGGATGTTAACCTGAAGTTGGAAACGTAAGAGTCGCTTCAGCCTTTTCCGTTCGGAATTATTTCGTGATAACACAGCCAGTCAGTGGCTTTGGCCCTGATCTACCTCATACAAGAAGTGTAATTGTAATGAGAATACTGACTGGTGAAATAAAACCCTATTGTTTCCTCTTCATTTTCAGAACAAGCAATCAAGATAATTTGGCTCCAATTACAGCTTCTGCAAAAGTGGTTATTGAACTGCTTTTATCGGTCTCTGGGTAAGTGTTTGTGTTTGGCATAACAAATCAGTGTTTGAAAGAACCACTTACAATCCTCACCAAAACGGGTGTTTTTTAATTTAACAGAGTTGCCAAACCTTCCCAGGTGTATTTTGGAGGGTCCGTCCTCGGTGAGCAAGCTATGAAATCTGAAGATGAAGTGGGAAGTTTGATCGAGTATGAGTTTAGGGTGAGTCCTAGCATCGGTCCTTATATTACCGGTACCGGAAGCTAACACGTGCTGAATAGGGTCTTCAATATGTAATTTTAATAAGCCATATTAGTAAATAAGCCCGATAAATGCTCACCTATTAAATAACACACTGGCTTACAGGGAAAGTCCTGTCCTCCAGAACTGAGAACAACAGCTGTCATTCAGCATAGGACTTTGTTCAGAATCCAGTTCCCTCTATGTTTCTTATCATAGAGTTTGAATGTCTGTGTGGTTTTGAGACAAAGGGACACTTGATCCTCCTGTGCCCTCTCCCCAACCCCAGTCTGTCTGTAAAACACAGGAACATGGCAAAGTGATTTACATTTGGCTTCAGAATGTGCTGTGATTCCTCCTCTGTTTAAGGCCATCTCTCTCACTGCTGTGGTCCATGCCCACTCCCCTTTCCCAAGCCCAGTTCAGCACGTAAGTGCACGGTACAGAGCTGGCTCATGAGACAGGCGGGTTTCAGATCTTTGTGGCTGAAAGTACAGTGACCATTGTTGAGGTGAATGGCGGGAATGAGCTCACGCCTGACTTTAGCAGGTCCAGGCTGAATTCTCCTCTGTGCGACTCTCGGCCCGACAATATGGCTGTGATGGGCGGTGGTGACTGTGAGGCCTCTGCAGGTGTGGCTGAGTGAGGTCTGGGTTCCGGAGCAGTCCTTCACTCAGGCAGAGGGCTCGTCCCTCTTCTAGCTTCTGCTGCAGGAAGTTGCTCGCCTGCAGCGTGGCCTCAGGTTTGTGGCTGCCATCAGGGTTTTACTCAGTCTCCCAGGTGCTCTCCCACACCTCCTGAGGGTGGTCCAGAACAGAGGCAGCTTCATTTTTTCAGTAGGTGGGCTTTCCCAGAAGCAGGTGGTTAGTGCACTGACATGAAAGGATCTTGTCACCTGCCAAACAGGGTGGTTACAGAGCCAGTCCCACGTGACTGTCCCTGGACACGTGGAGAGCAGGGTGCATGTGTTCCCGGTAACCTGTGGCACACTGCAGCTGTTCCTGGATTGAATGAACCATCATTTCTCTTCCCCCCCAATTCTTATTTATTTTTTTATTATTATTTTTAAAAATATATTTTATTGATTTTTTTACAGAGAGGAGGAGAGAGGGATAGAAAGTTAGAAACATCGATGAGAGAGAAACATCTATCAGCTGCCTCTTGCACACCTCCTACTGGAGATGTGCCTGCAACCAAGGTACATGCCCTTGACTGGAATCAAACCCGGGACCTTTCAGTCCGCAGACAGATGCTCTATCCACTGAACCAAACTGGTTTTGGCTTTCCCGAATTTAGTGACTAGAATTTTTTAAGCACATATCTCTATTTTTGAATATCCTATCTATAGTCTAATTTTGGAGCCTTTGCTCTCTCCTGTGTGATTATGCCAACTATTCTATTTGTTTGTTTTCTCTTGGAAATAGCTGCTACTTAATTCTACGTCACAACAGTTGTAAGTAGATAACATGCACTGTTTCCTAACAGGTTATTAACTTGGGCAAGCCTCTGAAAAACCTGGGCATGGCAACCTTGAACATCCAGTGGCCAAAAGAAATCAGCAACGGCAAATGGCTGCTTTATTTGGTGAAAGTAGAATCCAAAGGATTGGAAAAGATAGCTTGTGAGCCTCGGAGTGAAATAAACCTTCTGAACTTAAAGGTATGTTGGCGGATTTTTCTCAGTCTCCATAGATAAGACTTCGGAGGGGAAACCCACTACTTTCCTGAGGAAAACCATGTGCTGGCATGTCCACAGGGTTAACTCCCGGTAGAATAAAACTCATTCCAAAAGCTATTGGCACCTTAGCAAGTGACCTCAAAAGCCTTTCATTCTTGTTTCTTAAGACAGTAAATATGTGTTGGGTGCTTATTTGAGTCTTGGGCACTGTGCTAGACATTTTGTTTGCACTTTTCTCATTTCATCTCTTGCTAGTCACGTGAGAACAGCTTTCTTTCCTTCATTTCATGGATGAGGAGATGGAGACTCAGAGGGAACAGTAACTTTCAGTCTCTTAGCCTTTAAGAGGCAGACTCAACATTCAGCTTTGCTTGCCTTCAGAGCCGTCACATGTAGCTCTCTCCTGCTCCACACGCATGTCCCTGGTTTATCACGTACACTCCAGTGTGATGAAGACTTACTGTGTTAGTGAATGTCTGTTTCTTCTACCTTAAATTCTGAGGTGACTGGGTATGATCGGTGTTCATATAAAATGAACATTTAGAATGATTATTATATAGATTATTATTAATTATAGAATGACCCTTTATTCATTGCCTTTGAGAAATAAGATGATCCATGATTCCTAATTCTTATTGTAAGGAAAGGGCAATTTCAAACTTCCTACAGGGCTTAGTTTTTAGTACTCTACGTTGACTAAGTCACATGCTAGTTCTTTTTGCTTCTTTGTTTATTCGCATTCAAGAATTGCTGACTTTTCCCTCTGTGTTAGGTACCCACCTGGAGGCAGGGATACAGGAATGAGATTTGACTCCCTATTTTAGGATGCTCACAGTTCGGTGGGGAGACAGAACAAAAAAAGCCTCTTCTCTCCCTGGGTTTTAAGGTCAGAGTGGGAATCAGTGACCCAAATCAATAAACATGAAGTGAGGTAATAGCACCTGCAGATTTTTACACTTAAATTAATTCTACACCTTTGGTGAGAGAAGGGCAAATACTGTGGATTCTGAATTTGGCGTCATTTGGGCGGGAGTACTCAGGAGGTTGCAGATCATGACAGGGAATGATGAGTGGAATGATTTGGAATATAATTCCTTTCAGGAGTCTCACAACTCCCGAAGGAAACGGGAGATTGCCGAAAAACAGATTGACGATAGCAAGAAATTTTCGTTATTTGCTGAAAGGAAATACCAGACCCTTGTAAGTATTTCTCAAGAGCTGTGATCTGACGGAGGATGTGTGGGGGGAAGGGCTCCCCCGATCCCTTGCGTTCTAACCCCTGCCTCCCTCCCCTCCCAGAACTGCAGCGTCAACGTGAACTGCGTGAACATCCGGTGCCCGCTGCGGGGGCTGGACAGCAAGGCCTCGGTGCTGCTGCGCTCCAGGTTGTGGAACAGCACGTTTCTAGAGGTGTGGCCGCTGGGAGGCTGTCCCCGGGCGCCCTCTGCCCCCTCCTAGCGCCTTCCTCACTCCCTAACCCATCCACTCCCTCTGTCTCCGCACAGGAGTACTCTAAAATGAACTACCTGGACATTCTCGTGCGGGCCTCCATCGACGTGACTGCGGCCACCGAGAACATCAAGCTGCCACACGCAGGCACTCAGGTGAGATGGGCCCCGTCCGCACCCGGAGCAAAACCCCCTGGCCTGGCCTCTCCCCGCTGCCCAGGGCCCGGGGCTCAGGACATGCTGCCCTGGCGCTCATTTCACAGCACTGCTACCCCGTTAAGGAGACGATAGAGTCTTAAGGCGCTGCATCCACACGCTGCACTGTAATGGAATCACCGCTGCTCAGGGTCTGTGGTCCGGGAGAAGGGGATGCTGGCGGCACTGATGAAGTAGCCACAGAACAGGGGCAGTTGTTGATTGGTTTCCTTACATCCTGCACTTCATTCCTAAGGAAGTAGGAAGAGAGGGTCTGAGCTGCCGAGGAGAAGAGGAAATACGATCGATAAAAAGGCGGGCACGTCACACTTCAGGGGGATGTGATTTTCTTTTTTGGGCTCTGAATTCGGAGAAGAACTTGAGGTGGATCCTTTTGTAAGGTGGATTTCTGATAGGAGCAGCCTTCACTAAGGGGGATGTGTCTGCAATAGAGAGTTTTTTGAAAGATAGGGAAATTCCTTCATCAGGTGATGGATACTGATGCTCAGCAGGACTGGAGGGCATTGGCTGGCAGAGTGAGTGAGGGAAGCATCTCGCCGTGGGCAGGCTGCTGGGGTCGAAGCACTGCTCGCTGGTGCTGGCATTCAACCTGACAGCGGAGCTTAAGTCCTTCCCTTACAGGCACGTGGGGATGAGGTCATCACCCCCGGGGAAATGCCTCGATAATGAAACGGGAAAGAATACTGGTTGTGGAGTTGGAATAGCTTCTGCTCACCTGAACCTGTCTATCAGTAAGAGTTGCTGTGGCGAGATGAGTAAGGCTCCCCGGAGCCCTGGGAATGGCAGCTCCGGGATGTCTCCCCTTACCTGATTCCAAGGCCAGCTCTTCCTTCTTCCTAATCCCAGCTGGCGGACTCTGTCCTCATACAAACCCAAAACCCTTCCGTCGACAATGGAAGCAGACAAACAATGAAGTCTTACTCACTGGCCTCTCACCTCCCTGGCCCCCGGTGAGGCCTTGCACAGACTGGGTTTGTAGAGCTCGTTTGCCCTTGAAATGGGGAGCCCAGCCCCTGCCTTCGGTCCTGGTCCTCACACGCAGTCTTTGTCCAAGGAGTTGTTTTGCGGTTTCTATAAGGCTCCAAGTTCTGGTTACCACGTTAGCCAGACTCGAGGGCTTAGCACCCTCCCCCGATTCCCACCTGTCCATCCTGCCACCTTGGGCTGCAAAGTCAGAAGCTGCTTTGTTCAGCCAGGATGCTGTTAGATTGCTGCCTTTGGGGGGGTGATTTCCCCTACTACCGGCTTGTTAAGAGGCTTTGGTAAATATGCAGTGTGTTTGTAATAAGACTGAGCTTAGACAAGTCTCTGCTCTCCACCTCCAGCTTTATCAGAACTTAGCCTTCCACATGAGAATGGCTCTTCCGGATGGTCACCTGGCCCCCAAGGACACACCGTGCACCTTCGCTGTGCGGGATACAGGGAAGCCAAGGCCAGTGGCCTCAGCACAGGCTAGCTGAAATGCTCTTTCTGTCTTGTTTAGTCAGTTTACAGGTCGCATCCACTGTATTATCCTTCACTGGTCACTCCTCATTCTTTCTCCCCTGCTTGATGGCTAACCTGTGTTGGAACCAGCAGTCTGAAGGAAGGGTTGTGTTTCCTGATAGCTGGGACTCCAGTGGGAGGAAGGGCCGTGAGGGGAAGTGAGCTCTGAGGTCCCCTCTGGGGCTGGGAGTAGAGTGAAACCTCACTGAAAGCAAAACAGGAAACCAGAGCACTGATGAGGTGTTTACAACTGCCTATTGCAGTCAGTATAGCTGGCTGGGAACTCTGAATGTGGTTCTTCCCACTAAGTGTTTAAAGAAAAGCAGTGTTCGTGCTTTTTAAGTATTTTCTGAGTCAAAAGGGACCGGTTGGTGTTTTCAGGTGTAAGTAGAAAGGGAAGTGCATTAATGGGAGAGATTTAAAAAATAATGATAATTTACTATACCTGTACATCTAATATTTTGTGTTAAAAGAAGTTTCTTAGAGGTATAATTTTTGGGTTTTTTTTTTTTTTTCATCTTTAAAATCTGAGTGACAAATGTAGGCCAATTGTACATAAACTGTCCCTATTGTTTTCATCACTAAAAACAAATTTTTGAAAAGTATGATTGTTCTAAAAAAGATGGCAGGTTATGAAGACAAAACAAACTTGGCTGTGTATTGATAACCTGTAACTTGATATTGAATGATGATTATACAATTTATCTACTTTTGTTGGAGAAGAAATACACACATAGTCAAAACATAAGCCACCATTTTCCAGGTTCTAGGAAAAGAAGCATTAGTCCATTATTAAAGGAGAGGATCTTGCATCAAAAAGGCATCTCATCCTCCCACAGGCTGTACTGGCCAAGGTGTGTCCAGACAAATTCCTGGTGTCGACTGTCCTCCTGTTTTGTAATTGTGTTGTTCTCTTGTGGCCATAGGTTCGTGTGACTGTGTTTCCCTCCAAGACGGCAGCTCAGCACTCGGGGGTTCCTTGGTGGATCATCCTCGTGGCCATTCTTGCTGGGATTTTGATGCTTGCTCTATTAGTTCTTTTACTATGGAAGGTAAGTGATACCTGGCATTTGAATTTTGTGATTATAAACTTTATTTCATGTTTTTAAAAGTGAATTCACACTGATAGTGTGTGTGAAAATATATATATATATATATATATATATATATATATATATATATAAATTTTTCTTGTTAATTCCTCTTCCCTTCCCAACATTTTATTATGAAACTTTAACAGCAAACTTGAAATTTTACAATAAATACCTGCACATCTATCTAATACTTTGTGATTAAAGAAGTTTCTTAGAGATGTAATTTTTGGTGTTTTTTTTACATATAAGTTAGCATGTTTATTTTAATATATTCTTATTGATTTCAGAAAGGAAGAGGGAGAGAGATAGAAACATCAATGAGAGAGAATCATTGATCAGCTTTCTCCTACATGCCCCACCTGTGCTCGAACCTGCATCCCTAGGCCTGTGCTCTGACCGGGAATCAAACCAAAACTTCCTGGTTCATAAGTCGACACTCAACTACTGAGCAATGGGTTGAGAGTTGAGAAATCCAAACTGTATAATTTTGGGCAAATCATTTCACCTCCTTGGTTGAAGGGTTGCCTTAGCAATCTAACCCAATCTAAATGAGTTAGATTAGAGATCTCATTGTTTTGTTTTGTTTTTGTAAATTCTAAAGTATTCTAACTTACAAGTGAATTCGGAATATCTACCACCCTTACATGAAAATCATTTTTATAACTTTACATACTCTTCTTTTTGAAATTGAACTGTTTTCATATGTCAAAGTCACAAAATTTTGGGGCCAGAAAGGACTTGAGTTCAGTGTCCTTTAAGTTGGATTTTGCACATCCACATAAGTGCCATGACTAAGTAGGTGAGGCTAAGACCATCATCCCCCCGAATTGAATCTACTTTAAATATTGGGGTTCTACTTAGGATTCTTTTTGGAGGTAAGAGAGAAAAGTCCTCCGGGCTGGTCCAGTCGCCTATATTTTGCAAATTAATATGCTCATGTTCATGGATATTATATAGATTGCCAAGTTGGAGATAGGACTGGGGCTCTTAGTTCCCTAAGTTTGTTAGGAGTATTCACTGGGTATTAAATTGAGAGGCACACATAAATATCAGGATCCATAGTCTAAATTGGCACTGCCCAGTAAAACTTTCTCTAACAGTGGACATATTCTGAGGCTGCACTATCCAATATGGCAGTCACTAGTCACAAATGGCTGTTGAGCTCTTAAAATACTTCTAGTGCAGTGGGCGTTATTGACTTTTAAATTTAATTTAATTTAAATCTGAGTAGCAATGTGTAGTCAGTTGGTAGCTACCCTTTTGTACAAAGCAGATCTGGAATTTTACCATCATGAGTTGTCAGACTTGGAAGCAGAATTTTTTGGGAGGGCAGAGATTTATTTGACCAAGTTATATTTCTGAGGGCAGGTCCATGGCCTTATGACCAAGATTAAAGTAAATAGAGAAATTTCACATTGTTGAATGGAGGAAATTATAGTAGAAAGTGGAATTTTATTTCAATGCTCATTTGGAGTACCTAACCTTACACTGTGGCCCAGAGTTTGGGAAATCGACTGTCCTCATTCTTTCATGATGGTTTAGTTGAAATTATATTCTGATTCATCCCACAAATTCAAAGGCCTCAACGTGATGGCATTTTTTACTGTGAAAAGCAGAAAAGTACAATATCTCTCTGTTTTCTTTGTATTTGTGCTATCTACCTATATTAGGGTCCATATTTTTCTGTAAGAGAAAAAAACACACCCAAACCCATAATCCGATGTGCATGTATTTTCCCTTTTAAGGTGATTTTTGTCTTCCTGATTTCTGTGACAAATAGAAAAGTCGACTAGCTGACTAATGCCATCCATATAAAGGTCTGACCAGAGACCCATGGTAGTAGAGCTGGGCTGATTGCTGCCCGAAAGTAGCAGGTGCAGCGACTGTTCACTTCCGGTTGATCCATTCGTGGTCCCTTTGTAAACGAGCTGTGAATAGAAATCAGGCTACGGTCTGAGATTTTTCTTTTGTTTAGTTCTCCTGTGAAACTGACTAAATACCTTGCTTCCTTGTAGTGTGGTTTCTTCAAGAGAAATAAGAAAGATCATTATGATGCCACATATCACAAGGCTGAGATCCATGCTCAGCCGTCTGATAAAGAAAGGCTCACTTCTGATGCATAGTAGTGACCTTCTTCTGTAATTGGTAATTGATCCACGTTTTTTAATTGCTAGCTGTGGGACCTGCTGTGGTTGTGGTGGCTAACTTTAAGAGCAACAGCTTGCTGTGTGTGTCCCATTAACAGATGTTTCCAAATGTCCACACTGGCTTGCCCCGCTTGGAATTGTTTTATTTATGTCACTTGAGAGCTGTTTTGTTTGTTTTGTTTGAAATGCACAGAGCCATTTGTTGCAGGTGAGTTACTTTGTGCTGTGGTTAACCATCACCCGTAGCGATGAGGAGACTGAAATCTATACGCACCCAAAAGGAGGCTCAGTGGCCCGGTTTGCCACGTGGTGTTAACTTAGTATGCAGCATCCCATGGGATTTCAAAGGCGCATGGGAAACCATTCCCGGTTTCTTGTCCATTTCGGAATTTCCTACAGATGGACGCTTGTGTTGACTGCCTAATTAACCTTTTTGCATGTTGGAAACACGGTGTTTCTCTGGGTGAGAGGGCTTTCTCTTTGTCATCTTTTGCATCTCCTTGCTGGAAAGACGGGGGCAGGTTTGGAATGCGTTGATCGTTGCTCGGAAATTGTTCTGTGCTAGCTAAGCATGCACCTTCCTTTCCCGCATACCTACCCCAGGTCAAAGACCATTGCAACGAACTGTGACTATTGGCATGGTGGACATTATGGCCAGTTTCAGAAGACAGCTCTTTACCAAAGTGTTACCTTCAATATCCAAAATTTAGTATAAAAATGCTCTGGACACGTCTTATTTCAATGGACTTTGACCTTGTTTCCTATTCTTGGGATTCGATTCCACTTTGGGTCTCAATTGATTTTAAGTTCATGTCTTATTTGTAAACCTATGGAAACAGGAATTGGTCATGATTCCCTTTTCCATTTCTGTGGGCGTGAGAGGGTAGAATTACTCCGACAGCCCCTTTCCATGTGAATCCCAACATCTCCATTTAATTGTCGCCTATCACCCTCAATTTCCTTCTTTGTTTAAGTGGGGCAAGAGCCCATTTTGTAATGGGTAGATCTTTTGGCTTTTTTGAACAGAATAATGAAGGAGTCCATGTTGAAATGGCTTTAGAACAAAGCTTCTTGCCCATTATTCATGTTTATTCAGTGATAACCATACTTGTAATTTTATTTTGCCCCATGACATTCTTATAAATTAATTCAGTATTAACATTCTGTTCCTGTTGGGTTCATGTAATAAACAACTTAATCAATCATTCCAAGTATCTTCCTCATCCTATTATCTGCACTTTTTATTTATTTTTATTATTTTTTAAAATATATTTTATTGATTTTTTTTTTTTACAGAGAGGAAGAGAGAGGGATAGAGAGAGTCAGAAACATCGATGAGAGAGAATCATCGATCAGCTGCCTCTTACACACCCTCTACTGAGGATGTGCCTGCAACCAAGGTACATGCCCTTGACCGGAATCGAACCTGGGACCTTTTGGTCCGTAGGCCGATGCTCTATCCACTAAGCCAAACCGGTTTTGGCTATTATCTGCACTTTTTAAATTGAAAACATCCTTTTTTAAAATAAAAAAGGTATATATTTTTTATTCATTTAAAATATTCAATTTGATTTTTAAATATCTAGATATGTTCTCAATAAAAATCTACTTGGAATCATATGGAATATTTTTTAAATTAATATAAAATATACATTCATTAAAAAAGAAAAATTAGGCGCAGCGCTCTGAAATTCAGTCTGGTGATACTTTCCTGAAGCTCTCTGTTGGTACCTGGTTGATTTTATTGCAGGACAGAGTTAGTCCCCGATTTGTTAATGAAACAGCTTCACTTGGGAGCACAGCACCACGCCCAGGCTGTGTGGTTCTCCTTCCAGAGCCTCGGAGGAGAGATGACTCTTACAAGGACCCATGTGAACACTGACATGTCCTGGTGTAACTTGTAAACTCTCTGTGACCTGAGTTTCATTTCGTTAGTGGAAGAGGGGCATGAGATAACCTTTGGCTTACGGCCTCTAAAAAAATTGTTCTTCAAAATGATGTTTCTCTAATCTAAAAGTGAGCTCTTTTACAGATAGTATTGGGATTCTAAAAAACGGAGCACTGTTTCATAAACCTAAATGTCAGTAAGGACATAGCTTACCTTGTTTCTAAATATAAAGACAGTACAGAAAAAGGGGCTCTTCTTGCAGTTTTACAGCCATTTTTCTCTCCCATGTATCCCTACTGGCTGCTAAGACCTTCACCCTATTAGTTATTTCTAAAAAGAAAACCATGTCTTTTTTCCTTAGTCCAGAGGTAGGCCCTATCTGAACAGAAAGCTTAGATATTCCCAGCTAGGGCACTTGCTTTCCTCGGGATTACTAACTGTGCTTCTGTTTCTCTCTCCCTCTTCTGCAGTGTGGATTCTTCAAACGCTCTAGGTACGATGAAAGCATTCCCCGATACCAAGCTGTCAAGATCCCGAAAGAAGAGCGAGAGATCAAAGATGAAAAGTACAACGATCACCCGGAGAAAAAGCAGTGGATCACAAGTTGGAATGAAAATGAAAGCTACTCCTAGGGGCCGGAGGAGCGTCACCGTCCCCAACTGCTGTTTCAGTCCCCAACGCAGAAATTCCAATGGTTTAGAAGCCTGGCGCCTGACTATTGAGTTCAGACAGACTGCACCCTAGTACGAACCGACAGTTTCAACTGCTGTGTGGGCATTGTTACGTAGCCTACGGCTCCTGCTTTGCAGAGCCCGGATGTCAGACTGTTGGCATGAATTTTTCGTTAACTGCCTTAATTTAACTCTCTGGGTTGCCTTTGGTGTGGCCGACTCACAAGTGCCGGGGAAGGCCCCGCCCAGATGCGCTCATCTGACATCCTCCCGCTAGTGTCCCTGGAAGAAGGCACACGTGGTCACCGTGTCAGCAGAGTGCCGGTCGGAGCTGCCTCCGCAAGCATTCTTCCCAGTAGGACTGGAGGACCTGCAAGTTGACGGTCCCCCATCACAAGACAGTGCCGTGGGGGCAGCTGCGTTTCCATCGAAAGTGCTATCTTAAATGTGCAATAGAAGGTGATGTCGCCACCCTGCCATCTTTTTCCATTTCCGAGGCGTGTGAATCCCTGTTCACACCAAAGACGTCCAGGTTTCCTTCTCCCTTTTCACTAAAAACACACAGGTGCAACCGACTTGAATGCTAGTTATCCTTATTTGTATATGGTATTTATTTTTTTTTTCTTCCTTTTTTTACAAACCATTTTGTTATTGACTAACAGGCCAAAGATTCTCCAGTTTGTCCTTCAGAGTGGAGTAAGCAATCAGAATTAGAACATATGGCTCATTGGTTTGATCTAAAGTATTTACTGCAAAAAGAAAATAGTGCTTTATAAATGTACCAGAGAGTTGTTATAATTTACAGATAAGTTATTTAAAACATCTTCTTTCGTGACAACCCTTACCTTCACCCCCTCCCTCCAAACCTAAAATGTTTGTTTAAGAAATGGGATTAACCGTTAGAAGTTTAATTCTGAACAGACAATGGATATTTTTGAGTTTGGAGCCCTGTGTGACAATTCTGAATTTTATGCTATAACTTTCAGGAACTCTTGGAAAATGGGGTTTGTTTCTTGACCTTTCTCTGCTGTATATACAGAACTTGAAAGAAATGGTGAGTGCCTATGGTGGATCCAATCCGATCCAGTGGAAGACTACTGAATTCTCGATACCAAAAGTCAGATTAGAACATCATGGCTTTTATGTCTTAAATATTGTTGGAATCACGTCATGTGAGTCAGTGTTCTGTGTGTTTGTTTTTTTTCTGTGTTTCCTCTCCTATCTATATTCCCCAAATTACTTTAAGACTACTCTAACAAGAACTTTAACTTGTTTTTTAATTGTAAAAGTGGAGGAGGAGAGGAAGATATTATTCTATACATTCAATAGAGATTGAATGGATATGAAAGCCAGATTTTAAAAAAAAATGACTGTGCTTCAAAATGTTAAGTTATATGGAGAGCAACAGCAAACCTGGTGCTAATTTCTTTGGATGTAGTGTAAGCTGTGTCTCATTCTTTTAAAAACAAAATACAGCTATGTACCATTGTTGCTTTGGAGTTTTAATTTCCTTTCCTTTTTGGAAATCTTATACCCTTAAGATACTAAGAACATTACTCTAGTTGTACTTTGGAAATTTCATTCACAAATACTGTTTTCCAAATGATATTTTGTTTACAAAAATTTCTTGAGAACAGGTCATAACAGTGTTTAAAATCTCAGTTTCTTGCTTAGGTAACTTGGAACCTAATGCACTGGCTTCACAGGTTGCTAAGAAGCTGGCGTTTTGAACGCGTTTATAGGCCCTTGTTATAAAGATGAATGTCCTTGGGAAGGGGTGGGGAGGTGGGTGCAAGGGTGACTCAATAACAAAGAAACAAGAATGTAGTTAGTGGTCTTTACGATTATAGTTGGGAAAACTGTCATCTCAAGTCAAGACACTGGTCTATTCGCATTTGATACATTTTTATACTAACCAGCATTGTAAAGTTATTTCATGATTAGAAAATACCTGTGGATATTTGTATAAAAGTGTGAAATAAATTTTTTTATGAAAGTGTAACATAGCATTGCATATGTGAAACAAACTAAAAGTATAAGTACCCTGAATTGCTTTTCTTTCCTATTTTATTTAAGCCAAACTGAAGTTTCTGAGGTTTTTATTTATTCTGAGTGTCCCATATAATCTCAGATCAGCAGAAGATAATCTGTCCCCACAAAGGCGATTGAGGGTTGTCCCCTGCGTTGGCTTCACTGTTCAGTGGATACTCAAGAGAATGATGCTAAAAATGGCTTATTCAAGACGTCTACACGTTGGGAGATGTCTGTTTGCATTGATTCATCTGCTTCAAAGGTTATGCCGGTAAAGGAAAGGGTATTATTTAGCAATGATGCCATAGCATGAAAAATAAGCGTTTTTATGGCTAAATTGCTCTCTTACAACACATTTTGGATGTGAGAACAGTCCAGCTGTGACATGTATCATTAAATTGACCACCAAGGACTGATAATAGCAGAATTGAATGGTCAGGGGGGAAAAAATTACCAAAGGATTTTATTTAGATTGAAGTGGTTTTATGAAACTTCTCTAGCTGGGTTATCACAATTTAATAAATGAAGTATATAATATAAAGTATACAGCCCTGGCCAGTGGCTGGTATGGCCCAGTTGGTTGGGCATCATCCCATGCACTGCAAGGTTGCCAGTTTGATTCCCACTCAGGGCACATGCCCAAGTGGTGGGTCTGATCCGTGCATGGGCTGCAGGCTCGGTCCCTGATAAGGGGTGTGCATGGAATGCTCTCACATCCATGTTTCTCTCCCTCTCCCTTCCTCTCTCTAAAATCAATTACATTTTTTAAAGGAGTCTGAAAACAGTGTTGATTTATACAATTAAAAAAAAATCACTAAAAATATATAAATAAATAAAGCATGTAATAGTGCTCAGACGATACAGCATGCCCTACCTATCCTGAACACATTTCCAATCTAAAATGTGTTATCTGTCCAGGATATTAGGTAATAGTTTCCCATTAGACTTAGTATTATATGTTAAATTTTAGCCTTCTTAATTCTTTGAAGATCAAACAGGTGTTACCACCCAAAGAAATGTGTGATTTGTGCTTTTTAATGAAGGGCCAGAGGCTGTGAACCTTTTTTTTTAGCCACAGTCCCATGGATATGTCCAGATTAAATCTCTGAAATTATGTGTAATCACCATAACCATTAAGGATGTCTGTGGCTGTGGTCTGGCTACGGCTTTGGCATGAGTGACCTGGGCTGGAGGTCATGGCAGTGCTGTATGTGGCTCCTGTGACTTCACCTCTTTCTTGCTATTGGATGGGAGCATAAGGAATGCTTAGTCATGGTAATGGTATTATTAGTATGGAGCTAACCAACACTGACACTTTGCTGGGTGCAGAGCACTTGCTATTATCTCATATACGAGTCATGCACAGTCATGGCTTACTAGTATGCTGTGTCCTTGTGGTTGAGAATATTCTAGAATGTAGGGTAGAGGTAGATGGGGAATGCTTTTAATTGTCCAGACTTGGGAAGTAAGCATAAGATGGAAAATTCTATCCTAAATGAAAACATCTTAATGAGAATGTGATCTCTGGTGCATAACCCACAAAAAGACAACGTGGGAAGATAGACTAAAGTTGTTGGGTTGTTTTGTTTTAAGGGAGGAAAAGAAGGAAATGCTGTAGGTGGCCGAGTGCCACATATGTACGTCCTCGGGGCTGAGAAAACTGAATGTGGAGGAGTTACTTGATCAGCTTGTAGCATAAAATAAGTGATTAAAGGCCGTTCCTGGAATCAAAGGAGAGGATCCAACTGAGGGGAAGACAAGGCTCAGTGAGATGAAGAAAGTGAACTTGAGAATGATTTCAAAGGAGTGGCTATTGCAAAGAAGCCAATAGGCATCTGTTCTTCTGGGAGTTACTGATTATGGTTAAAGGGCAAGTGAGTATTTCTTGTTCCTAAAAAGAAAACACAGGTTTTGCTGACTCAGAAAGGCATCCTATTCAGCTGTTAGGATATGTGGGAGTGGGTGGGAGTGGTGTGTACTAGTGGCTGGAGCCAGTCTGCAGAGGTATTGCCAACAGACCCATCTAGGAGGAAAGTTATAAAGGGAATTCAAGGGTACATCCTCTGATGAAGGATAAGTGAATTGTAAACACAAATGTGAGTAAGAAAACTGGTCCAGCACAGTGCGCAGGTGGGCAGGTGCCCACAAAGGGCAAGCTAACCAGGTAATGGTTGATTACACTGGAGTGAAGGAGTCAAATGCAATTTTCGCAGCAAAGTTTAAATGCCTCAGTCTTCTCTTAGCCCTTGTCCTGGAGCCATTCCTCAGCCAGCCTGCCTGTGCCAGGGTCATTGAAATGGGCAGAGACAGACCTGTTGGAAGTCGGATAAAACTTCTCACACACTGTTCTAAATCATACACAGAAAATCTGAATGCTGCTCACATTTTCTCATGGCCCAACAGATAAAATATTTAACTCCTCAATAACCAGTAGATTAGAGTTTTCTGTGAAGATCCTGTCATTGTGAGATGGAGATAGACATGGTTCAGTCATTTTCCCTCCAATGTCCAAGGATGTTATTAGGCTCAGGGGCTACACATACAAATAAGACACTGGCTCTGACCTTTTAGAGGAAGCTTATATTTAAAAAAGCAGATGATACTGGCAAACAGGTGGATGCAATTTATGTAAGTAGCAGAATTCAAAATCATGCACCATGATATCCATTGTTGACTTTGGGTGGAACTTGTCTTTGGAACCAACACCAATTCCAGAAAGATTGAAAGTAGTCTGTACCTGGGCTGCACCCTTGAATACCTAAAGAACATTTCTTAAAATCCCAGTGCCCAGACTACATGTCTGACTGACTCGATCAGAACCTCTGAGGCTGGGACCCAAGAATCAGTGCTGTTTAAGGCTCCCTAAGTGACTCTTCAAAGTTCAGCCAAGTTTGAGAACTGCTTCTGCGGTGTCAGATGGCTTGAAGATT